TCGCAATTAGCAATACATTAAGGCTACCATCAAATATTCTCAGGAAAAAGGCTGTGCAATGATCATTTCTGAAGGGCACTGATTATATCTGGGGAGGGACAGTTAAACAGGAGTCTGCAGGGCAGGACAGAGTGGGTCCCTCGCCTACGTTCGTTACTGAGTTGAGATAGAATTTTACATCAGTAATGACTGCTACTTACTGATTTTGTAACTTAATCCAATAATCAGAATATATTAAATAAAATATTACCTAAAATAACATCTCAAAAAGATTTCCTTGTGGAAGGTTCTTGGAAACAAGCAAACAAACAAAAAAATGCAACTTTTTTCTCTTTTTTTTAAACGCTACATGAAAATTCTCAGGGAAAAGATCTGTCTGTGGCAGAGTCTCTTCCAAACTTGGCCGAGCATTATCTCAGGCCACACACGTTCTCACAGGTCCTCCCCATCAGAGGGGCACCCACTTCCCCTCCCTGGGGGCTGAGCTGCCTCGGGGTGTGGCGGGAATGATACACCAGGTCCCAAGTAGAGACATGAGCCTTGAATGGGCTTCGAGCTGCAAGGAAGCTCATTATTCAGTTTATTTCAATTTGCATATGAAACAAATCACCAATATGCCATAAAAACGCCTTGAGGTCCTTGACGACCACCTGATCATCTGGGATAAAAATTTAAGCAAGAAAAAATTCTGACTGTGTGTTAACTACAGCTTTGCTTCCTTTGAGGAGCACATGTAGGCACCTGTCTGATAACAACAGCTGTCATGTGGCAGACAGGAGTGACACACAGGTGCCAGCTCGTTTATTTCTCACGGGCAGCTCTGTTATCACCCTACGTGCTGGTGAGGAAACCAAGACACAGAAAGATGAGGGAGTACATTGCCCCAAACCACAGAGCTAAATCATGGGGGTAGGCAGAGGGAGGCTATGTCCTGTGTAAAAGGAAAAGCTGACGAGGTCTCACTTTCCATCAGGCAGCTGGGAAACTACAGGTTAAATAAGTTCAACACAGCAACCACTGTACAGTCAACAAATGTACGTGCGGACTTACTTCATCTCTGCTCTATGTTTTTTTGTATTTTGTTTCTTTTTCTTATTGCAAGTTAACTCAAGCCTTGTGAAATAAAGACACACATATATGCATACATATATATATTTCTATCCACTTAAAAATATATAATTATTAATATATAATATTATATACTTTATAATTATATACTTAGACATACACGCAAATGTTTCTAATATGAATGCTTTCCCCCTCAACATTAAACATCGACAACTCTCTCTCCATTATCTGAGCAGTGAACTAGTGATTTTCACAGGATTTTGCCCTTCCCTGCAACGCGCACGTGGCTTAGCTGTGTAAAGTGCTCTGACCTGACGCGCGGCCGCATTCTCACAATCCTATGGCCCTGTGGAGCTGCACTAGCGTTCACCCAACGTGACAGGCACTCACCCCTCTGCTCTGACTTTTGAGATGAGGGTCGCATCTGGGAGGATCCACAGTTGCTCTGGAAAGAGCAGGGGTGCCCTCTCTTGGAGACCTCTCTCCTTCGTGGGTACAGTTAGGGAGACCTAGGGCTTCTGCTCACCTCGGCTGAATTACCTGCCCCTGCTTTAGCCCCCTGCTTTAGCTCTGGGGGACGGGGGTGGCGGTGAAGGCCCACCTTCCTTCCTACCTGGATTCCAAATGACAGGGCTAGCTTGTGCCACGTGTGCGGCCGTGAGGTTCCAAAAACAGCTCAGCAACTGTCCCACCACAAAACACCCTGGTTCCCCAAAGCCCAGACAGCACGTGGTTCTTGTGGGGCTCCCAAGCCCTAAGATGCTTCCTTCCTCTTTGGGTGACCAGGCAAAACTCCCCAAGTGTAACGCCCCGCAGTCGGGAGAAATTACAGGAGATTTACAAGTGCGCTCCAATGAGTTATTACTTAGATCTAAATTCTTCAGTGAAACTTTCCCAGAGATTGAAAAAGTAAATAAAACTCTTAAGCGCGTTGCCAAGTCAGTCCTAAGGCGTTCGCCACACACGGAGGAAGTTGCCCTGGTTTAAGTTGTGCAACTCATGCATCAGGCACGTGAGCCAGTGACTCAGGCACCTGCGCGGGGGTCAGCGCCGGCCAAGGAGCCTCTGGACTCCCTCGCGGGACTCTCACAAAGCTGGCCTTCCCAACCTCCACCGAGACCCTCAGTACGAGTGTCCTGAAGACGTGGGTTAGGGGAAGGCTAGTAGCCTCCCCCACATCCCTCACCGGCCCCCAGTTCTGCTGACACATGGACAGAACGATGACCAGGAGCCTGAAGAGAATCGCTAAGTGACTGCTGCTGACCCGTGGTTCACGGACCATCACGAAAGCGTGGTTTCTTCTTAGACTCGGGGAATTTCTGTCTAGTCAGGGAAAGACGTTTATTTTTTATTGCGGTACGCGGGCCTCTCACCTCTGTGGCCTCTCCCGTTGCGGAGCACAGGCTCCGGACGCGCAGGTTCAGCGGCCATGGCTCACGGGCCCAGCCGCTCCGCGGCATGTGGGATCTTCCCGGACCGGGGCACGAACCCGCGTCCCCTGCATCGGCAGGCGGACCCTCAACCACTGCGCCGCCAGGGAAGCCCCAGGGAAAGACCTTTTTGTAAAGTGGGAGGGAGCTGCTGACTTCACCTCGAGTGACATTTGTACACTTCAGGATTTAAAATCGTACATATTTCCTCCAAAAGTAGATCGTCAAGATGGATAGCCAAGATTATTTCAGACTCTTTTCCCCCCATCACTCCGCACCTTTAGACTGGGGTGGCTTTGGACCCCGGGAAAGCAGACGCCCGACGGCTCTGCAGCGCCCACGTCCGTGTGACTCAGGACGGCAGAGCACAGAGCAGTGGAGCCCAGGAGGCGTGCTGGGTCCCCCTCGCTCACGGTCACGCTTCCCCTCTGCTGTGACTCTGCGGCGTCAGCTGCAACGCCCTGAAGGTGACAGTTAGGGAACTACTCCCGAATCGCAATCGCGCTGATGGGCTGAGAGCCTGGCCTGGGGCCGGCACCTCCAATCAGCAGATATTCCAGCCTGTCTCCGCGTTCGAGGCACCACAAAGTCACAGCAAACAAGGCAGGCAGAAGCTGGCTTGTGGCATGATTCTTCCAGTAAAAGGCAAATCTAACTTTGTGACAGGACTGAAATACGTGCATTTCCATTGGCTTTCACATTCAACTCCAGATAATAAAACAATTCTCCAAATTGAGTATGCATTTGAGAAGGTTAAAAGGGGTGGCCTTTTAAAGTTATCCAGGAATTACACCAGGTTTATAACTTAAGGAAAAGGCTTATTATAGATCTTTTTCACGCTATGTCATACAGGTATTATATACAGGCAATATAATTGTGTTTTGTGTGTGTGTGTGTGTATCTGACAGTAAAAGACTGGCTGACATTGTTTCAAATAATCCTAAAAGTGCTAAACCTGGGTACTGATAAATATGATGCTTGCTTTAAAAATAAGTAAGCTTAGCCAAAAAGAAATTCTAAAACTTACTCTTATTCATATATAGAACCTAACTATGGACATTTCTACTTTGTCATTCTCTTTTATGTGTTTATACACATATGTAGTTAGAATACAGGCCTAAAGACACCTTTATCTTAGAGGTTTACAGGCAGATTTAGCATTAAAGTCACTGACAGTCAGACGTGCCTCCCTCTACAGTCCAAAGGCCACACACTGCTCTCCAAGCCAGGATGCCATCCTCTACTCCTTCCTCTGCCCCTAAGGAGTGGAAACCCCACTACCTAGAGGCGCTGGACTGTGTTCAGGTCCAAAAAATCCCTATGGAAATCATCGTGAAGCAGGTAGAATCCGGGAGAGAGTAACAAGTACTGACCTCCTGTCTGATTTCCATTTAACTAATCCTCAGTGTTTTGCCTCTGGGCCTTTGGGTTACATTGATTTTCATGGAAGCTTATGATACTGAAAAAGTGGGCAGCGGTACTTCTGTAATTATGTGTTCTGCTCAAGAAGGAAGGAATTATAGAGAAGGAAAGGATTTTTCAGAACGAGCAGGTGAATCAGGAACACAGAAAATTGGGATGGATTTTCCTGCCTGACAAGGAAAGCGTAAAGAAACCCTTTCCAGAAATGAGCAGAGACCAAGCCAGGAAGACGGTGGAGAGGCCTTGTTCCTTGAGTGTCAGACCTGCAGGCTGGGTTGACTGTGGCTAAGGCTTATCTTAGCAGCTAGAAAACCGGGCCCTCTTGTTTTGATAAATGAGACCTCAGGATCTGGCTTTCAGTCCTCACACTCCAGGAATACGAATACGTGGAGAAAAGAGCGATGCCCACGGGCAGGTCTGCCCGTGTTCCAGTTTGGCCTGTGATGCTGGGAAAGTAATCCACGGTCACTGTCACGCGGCAGAGGTGGACCCAACAGCGTTAATACAGGAATGGGTGGGAACCTGCCCGTTCACTCCTGGGGTGAGAAGCAACCTCTATCTCTAGGGTGATGAAAATGTAAACTCTTACAGAAAACACATTTCCCAACACCTCCTGAGTCACTCTTCGTAGTTAAAATAAACACCACCGTATCCAGGCTCTGGGACTATTTCCCTTCCTTGTTAGCTATTTTTTTTACCAGAACTGCTTGGCCTCCCAATGCCCACACCCAACTGATCAAGTAGATGACTAGAGAAATAGCATATAGCAAGGGAAAATCTGGGAAACTTCCGGTGTCTGTGGGTACAAAAAGGCATGCGAAACAAAACCAAAAGCAAAAACAAGATGAGGACGGCTACCATGGGCGGCCAGGGCAGTCCCATCCGGGAGACGGATGGATGTTCCCAAGAGGCTGAAGAAGCGGGCTCGGCCTCCAGGTTTCTACAGAGGCCGCATTTCTAATGAGAGCAGATTCACGGATTACTCACGTAATTAAAAAAATTAAGACCTTCTCCAAATGAGGATGTGTTTGCACACGATTCTCATATGAAATCCCATCTTCTAATTTTTATATTACGTACCAAACACGTCACTGTCTTCTGAGGTCTCCCGGGAAAGGTCACAAAGGTTTCTCTTTTTTTCAGATTCTCCTCCGTTAGTTCCACCATCCTGGAAAAAACAACACAAAACAACCCTTTCTTAAGATATAGTGTCTCATCAACAAGAAGCTTTAATGCGTTTTTCTCTTGATACATTTTGGAGCCAATAAACACATTTTCATGTCTGTCTTCAAGGTATGAGATGGAATCTCAAGTCAGGGTGTGTTTCCTGTGGAGGATTCTGAATTCTGGCTCGTTTTCTCTGCCTGAGCACGCAAGCATTCTCTTGCTCCAGCGGATATACTTTCATACAAAAGAAACTGAAGTTATTAAACTAAACGAGCTAAACATCATCCCATGTATTTCAGGAGCCTGTCCACTTGGTCGCTGTTTTGGGCTGTGAGTTTAAAGCGTGGGAGGAAACTGACACCAAACCTGACTCCCCTGAATTCCAACTTTGCTCAATGGTAGCCGGGCAGGACAGCCCTGGGGGAGAGCCCCTTGCAGGGGCAGGAATGATGCAAACGTCCTCGGCCCCCTGGCCAGCTGAGGGGAGTGGCAGGCGCCATGCGGGCTGGGCTGGGCCACAGGCCCAGACCTCCGCCCTCGTTCCTCTGGGAAGCTGCACCCTCAGAGGTGAGCTTTCTTCACTCCCCTCCCACCCGACTCCCTTCTGCTTTTTTATGGAACCCCAGGGTGCTTTTTGAGTTTAAAATTTTAAGTGCACAGAGTAGATATGGTTCAGTTTCTACTCTAAATCAAGCTTATTTAATGATTTTCATATGGAACGCGTGCACTTGACATCAAATTCAGAGGGCACTGCGAGGGTCACGGTGAGAAGGGTGGGATCCCCGGGCACCTCCCCTGTGGATGTGCTTCCAGCTTCTGTCTTCCTCCAAAACAGTCTGGGCACAGTTAAGCCACTGCACAAGCTCACTCCCTTCTTCCTCCTTTTTACCTTTACGTAAATGCCAGCACACTCTGGACGCTGCTCTGCTTCTTATTTGTCACTTAAGCAGGAGTCCTGGAGATCGTGTCCCCCAGGACACGCAGCACTGCCCACGCTGCCCTGGTCGACAGGGACCTGGCACCTCTCTCCATCTCTCTTGCCAGGTGACCCGGCTCCCGCTGAGGACCCTGTACCCCGCTGCCTCGTCTTCAGTTGTGCCCAATGCTGCCTTAAGCCTTGCTCGCCTACTCAACGCTGTACAAGATACATTTCTGGAGGTTGAACGAGTCACACCATAATCTTTTAAAGACGGTGCCTAACTTGGGCAGATCCACAAGGGGGTCCGCCGCTTCGTACTCTGGTCTCCACGCTTACTTTGTGTCACTTTTTTTCAGACCAATCTCTCTGCCTGGACCACACCCTACCTCCTGACCTGGCGGTGGGGGTGGGGGTCCAGGCAGAGGTCAGAGCCTCTGGGAATTCTGACCTCACCCAGCCCCCAGCCCCGCCTCAGTGGCTTCCCTGCCCGCAGCCCCCTTCCTGTCCCCCCAGCCATAGATCTGAGCTGGTCTCCACTGCAGACACCATCGCCAACGCCCTGTCTGTGTATCTCTCTGCCTCCCCACCACACTGTAAACTTCTTGAGAACCGGGACATTGCCTGATAAATCTTTCTAGCCCCAAACCTGGCACAGTGCCTGGTATCTAGCAAGTGCTGGAGATAAAACTTCAATTTTATGCTGTTGAAGAATAGTTTAAAATAGATAACTTCTGTTTCAGCAGAGGGAGCCAAAGGTGGTATAGTATATAATTTTTCATGTCTACCTATTTATTTTTAGAGGAGAGTAAAGCTTGGATGAGAAGGAAGTTCTTGGTCGCTTCTTTCATCATCATAAATTCCTATCATATGTGGTCGTTTCACATCTCCCTTCTAGGCTGGTGTCAGGATCGCAGCCTTCACTAACTCCAAAATAATAAGCTTTACTGGAGAAGTAATTAATTAAATACAATTTAGCTGCCATTGTAAATGGCTGTGGATATGTCTTTTCACATTTTAAAATCGGGATGCTCCTTACAAATCAATAGCATCTTCCAACTAGAACCGACAGTGTTTTCTTTCTCGGTGGTTAGGGAAACAACGTGGAGTGTCAGGGATGATGGCGCTTCAGGTGCAGAGGAAAAGCTAGATCTTTAAAAGCAAATCACTTTGCTTTCAGTGAGTGGAGGCTGACAGCATGGTCACACAACTTCCCCATATCCACTGCTGAGGCTGGAATGGCATCACGGTGAAGAGACATCTTGCGTCTTACATCGCCGTGGCACTGGGACATAGGAAAGTGCAACAGGTGATCGAGAACCACATCCTTAAACTCTTCCAGAGCAACCTGGTGCCCGCCGACCCTGAGTGGACGCCGTCTGCCAGGGACTCACACGCTCAGGGAACAAAAGGGTCGACCCAGAGCTGGGGGAACCCAGAACCGGCTTCAAAGGCAGCTCCTGGACAGACGGTGGGAGGGGGCCCTTTCTGAGAGGAACCAATAAACCTTCTGTGCAGAACTTGAAAAAAAAAAAGGCTGGAATGGCATCGTGGCGAAGAGACATCTTGCGTCTTACGCCCACGCCTTCCACAGCCTTCCGGGCTGAGGCGACAGCACATCCGCACGGTGAAGCGGCCACAGATGCAGCCCCGCGTAGTGATACAGGCAGGACCACAAACCCCACCCCCTCCCATCTTCTCCCTTCTCAGCACCAAGCCTCTAGCTGAGTAAACATCTGTCCCCCACATCATGGTGCACGAGGCTGAGCGGAAAGTACATGTCGCCCTGGGAAATTCACTAATTTCTGTCCAAATACAAAGCTTGTTTCTGAGACCTGATACTGTTGCTATTCCACGAATATAAAAAACATCCGTGGGACTTCCTTGGTGGCACAGTGGTTAAGAATCCGCCTGCCAATGCAGGAGACACGGGTTCCAGCCCTAGTCCGGGAAGATCCCACATGCCGCGGAGCAACTAAGGCCGCGCGCCACAACCACTGAGCCTGCGCTGTAGAGCCCACGAGCCACAACTACTGAGCCTGCGTTGCCACAGTTACTGAAGCCCGCGTGCCTACAGCCTGTGCTCCGCAACAAGAGAAGCCACTGCAATGAGAAGCCTGCGCACCGCAACGAAGAGAAGCCCCCACTCGCTGTTACTAGAGAAAACTCGCGCGCAGCAACGAAGACCCATAAATTAATTTTTTTTAAATCCTCATAAATAACACATTTTCAATAAGCAAAATGTCCAAAAGCAACACACAAAAAATCAAGGTGATGTGTGTCCAATGTAATGGAATTTTCATGATAAAGAAATGAGCGTCCTGTAAATTATAAAACGTAATAAAATCCTCAGACATACAAGACAGTCAGGCCTATGACCGGGACCCTCCCTGAATGTCCTTGTCCCAGTGTGTTCTGATTTTTAAACTGTGTCCGTGACTATAAGTATCTGAGTGCATTTCAAGCCGTTATGATTTCTTCATAATATCTTTGCCCATAAATAAGAAGAAAAGACAACCCTCAGAATGGGAGAAAATATTTACAAATGAAGCAACTAACAAAGGACTAATCTCCAAAACTTACAAGCAGTTCATGCAGCTCAATAACACAAAAACAAACAACCCAATCCCAAAATGGGCAGAAGACCTAAATAGACATTTCTCCAAAGAAGATATACAGATTGCCAACAAACACATGAAAGAATGCTCAACATCACTAATCATTAGAGAAATGCAAATAAAATACAATGAGGTATCACCTCACACCAGTTAGAATGGGCATCGTCAGAAAATCTACAAACTACAAATGCTGGAGAGGGTGTGGAGAAAAGGGAACCCTCTTGCACTGTTGGTGGGAATGCAAATTGATACAACCACTATGGAGAACAGCATGGAGGTTCCTTAAAAAACTAAAAATAGAACTACCATACAACCCAGCAATCCCACTACTGGGCATCTACCCTGAGAAAACCATAATTTAAAAAGAGTCATGTACCACAATGTTCACTGCAGCTCTATTTACAATAGCCAGGACATGGAAGCAACCTAAGTGTCCATCATCGGATGAATGGATAAAGAAGATGTGGCACATATATACAATGGAATATTACTCAGCCATAAAAAGAAATGAAATTGAGCTATTTGTAGTGAGGTGGATGGACCTGGAGTCTGTCATACAGAGTGAAGAAAGTCAGAAAGAGAAAAACAAATACCATATGCTAACACATATATATGGAATCTAAAAAAAGAAAAAAAAGGTTCTGAAGAACCTAGAGGCAGGACAGGAATAAAGACGCAGACATAGAGAATGGACTTGAGGATATGGGGAGGGGGGAAGGGTAAGCTGGGACAAAGTGAGAGAGTGGCATTCACATATATACACTACCAAATGTAAGGTAGATAGCTAGTGGGAAGCAGCCACATAGCACAGGGAGATCAGCTCGGTGCTTCGTGACCACCTAGAGGGGTGGGATAGGGAGGGTGGGAGGGAGGGAGACGCAAGAGGGAGGAGATATGGGGATATATGTATATGTATAGCTGATTCACTTTGTTATACAACAGAAACTAACACACCATTGTAAAGCAATCATACTCCAATAAAGATGTAAAAAAAAATATTTGTGCCTGTTTTCCTTTCCATCAGCCTAACTTCTCCCTATGAATTTTAGAGGTAAATACAACAAGCAAAACTCCCATAATTATTGATGTAGACTTTAAAATACTTCTAAGTATAAGTGAGATTCATTATCCACCAATATTTGGCAGAATATTAACTATGATTTAAGCAATTTGCTGTACTTTCTAACCATCTTGTCCAATCCTCTGGCAACAGACCCCATCATTCAGGTGCATCACTGCCATTTTTAGAGATTTTCTTCTACTTGGTACAGCTTTTTACACACACACACACCTGTTGTATGATTACATATTTAAGAAATATCCGGAAGAGACAAATCTGTAGAGACTGAAAGTACATTAGCGGTGGCCTGGCGTTGCGGGTAGGGTGGGGTGGGAGGATGGTTAGAATGAGTAACTTGAATAGATTTATGACTAAAGGCACTGAAAATGCTTCCCACTCAACACTGT